ACTCACTTAAATTTATTTTACTTAATACAATCTGGTTTTAAAATCATCTGAACTTGTCTTGAGATTTATTTCAAAATTTCCTTATTTCAGCAGCTAAAAAATGTATTCTAATATACAAATCAAAAATTATCATTCGTTTAAAAACTGATTGATTTATTAAAATTATATAACAATATAAAATTGCTTTATCGTTTCACTAAAATGTCAAAAAATGTCTTATGGACCTATGTGTACATCCTAAATAAATACACTTATATTCACAGTTTATTTAAATTGCTCATTCAACTGGCCTATATACTGTTCCTATTGATTATCTTTCATGTTATAAATTAATTAATTCTGTATTTTTAGATATTAAACTTCTTCTTGCTGGTTTCAAAACGAAAGCTAAACTATGTGGGTATGATTTTAAACTTAAGAGCATTCAAGAAGCTCTCGACACTCGTGTTAATAACTTTAAATACAACCCTTCTACAATTATTTCCCATTTTTCTACAATGACACTTATTAATATTGCAATTCTCTTTACAATTTTAAATTAATCCTATAATTGAAGCTACATTTTGAAAACGTGTAGCCTCTCTGATAGTAATTGTATTTATAGGTATTGTTTCAAGTTTTAAATATTAGTTAATACTAAAAAAATCAATTTCTCTTGATAAATAGAAGATATTAATGATTTTAAATTAAGATCCTAACTGATATTAATTATTAATTTTTTCTAGAATTTTACATGGAAGTATAGGATGGTCAGTACTAAAATAGTCAATTTTTAATACAAAAATTCTTACTAAATCTTCAATTTTATAGCTATTTGACCTTTTCTTTCCTTTATTTATTTGTTTAACCATTTTCTCAATATAATTTTCAAGATCTTGTTAAGAAACTTCTCTTAATATTTTATGATTTATAATCTTGTAATATCAACAAGAACAGGATCTATAGAAATCAATTGATTTGATACTTCATTTTTCTTATTTTTCATATGTAATACTTTGTATTAGTTTTGCAAAACCTAAAATTCAAATTGATAATTGCAATAAAAATTTTATTGAAAGATTTTATTAAATTAATTAAATTGATAAAAATTAATAAAATAAAAAACTGATAATAAAAATTATAATAAAAAATTTATACAATAAAAATTACACTAAAAATTAATAAATTATAATAAAAACTAAAATAAAAATTATAATAAAAATTACAATAAAAATAAAAATATAATAACAAAATAAAACTAAAGGTAATAATACTATATGAAATGATTTTGATATATAATAAGAATCTAAAAAAATTTATCATTAATATATTAAATTAAATCTAAATAATAATACTAATATATTTATCAAGTAAATTTTTGTTAAAATCAAATTATCATCTAAATTTTTATTAGAATTTTCAAAATCTACAATTTTGATCATTTCAGAAATATTTTCTTCATAATAAATGCTTCAGATAAATAACTCATCAATTAAACTATAATTTTCACAAGGTTTATCATTATAAACAAGTTTGTAAGGAATTTTTTTATGTGATCTACAAACAGAATTATTCATGGATAAAATCACTAAGCAAAGTTCATATAACTAATCGCTTCTTTTAAGGGTTTCCTTCTACTTTACTAATTTTTGTTTAAAATACCATTTTCTCTTTCTACTAAATCTTAAGATTGGGAATGACAAGATCTTCTATTGATAATTTTTATAGATGATCAAAGATTAACAAGTTCTTTGATTATTTCAGTTCAAAATTCTTTTTCATTGTCAGATTGTAAAATAGTAGAAGGAAAACTAATAAAAAAAAAAAAAAAATCAAATAAAAAGGCTATTACTTTAACAGCTCATTTAGAAGTAAGTGATTTTACCTAAAAAAATTGAGTAAAGTGATCATGAGTATGATAAATATATTTGTAATCACCATCAGCATCATAAGATAAATCAATTAAATCTATCTATAAAAAAATTTTTAAATTAAAATGCATTTATTCATAATATTAATTAATTAAAAAAATTATTTTAGTTGCCTGCATATGAGATAGATAGTTTTTTTGCAATTATTTGTTTGTTTGTTAAAGGATGAAAAGAAAGCTTTTGGGTAACACATATAGTGCAGTTGTTGACAAACATTTTCAACAATTTCCTATCTTACAAAACCAATTTTGTTTAATTGACTTCTATAGTTACTTTTGACCTGGTACTTCATACATATTTTCAACTTTTAAAACAGGTTTATTATCTTTTTTAATGATAATTCTATAGTTTCCTGGAGTAATTTCTTCAAGGATAAAGCATTTTTTTAGCCCATTCATGTGTAGTTTTTGTGTCAATTTTTCTTTGTCAAAAGGTTAAGTAATATTTTTTTATTCGTTCAAAAAGATTCATATTAACTAAGGCTTTTTCTTGATGACAATCTGACAGAGAACTTATATATTTATTAATTATATCATCAAGTGTGGCCTTGCTAATAAAATTGTATTCCATCTTAAAAAAATCGAATATTGATAAAAAAAAATGTAAGACTTGAAAAAAAAAAATTATAAGGTGTAAAGTAAATGATGTAACAATGTAACATTAATTATTTATTTGATCATTAATGCGTCAGATGACAGCCAACGCGCCTCAGATGTCAAATATTAACTGACGCACGTCAAAGTATCGATCGATACCTGACGTGCGAAAGCTGCATCTGACGCAATTTGATCGCTAAAGCGATTTCAATTGAACCAATTTGGTGAAGTTATGGGAAAAAATAAAATTTGACAATCTTTTGTAATTCTTATGCGCTGAGAATTTATATAAATAAATAGTTTTATTTTATTTGAATTTTTTTGATAATGTATACTGTAAAAAAAATTATATTGTATGAATGATCTATTAAAGTTCATTTTTATCTGAGAAATAAAGCAATAACACCAGTAAGGGCACCAGATGTTTCAAGATAAATTATCACCGATATTAGCGTCAGTGTTTATTTTTAGAAAAGGATTTTATATTAAATAAAAGAAATTATAATTATTTATTCCTGTTAAGGACGGTAAATAGAAAACATGAAGGTATGATGACCACGAATGTATGGCGATGTATGGTGATCGACTAGGGGTAACGAAAACAGGTGACCGATGTATTTATGTATGATGACAAATGTATGGCGGTTTTAACGGTTTTTCCTATACATGTATGTTTAAAACACATGATACGGAACTAAGATAATATATTGTACGGTATTATTTACCCTTTTGTTCTCATCTGCTAATAGGCGTTTGCAGTATGAAAGGAGGGAAATCTAACCTTAAATGGTAAGATAAAACTTTGCATTGACGAGAGTAGTTTATCACCATCTGACTAACTGATAAGACAAAATTTGAAACAATAAAGTGGGTTATAGGTTTTGTTAAATCTTGTGCATATGACTATTCTTAGCTGACCCAGTCCAGTCTCATATTCTTTTTGCTTCGATTATTTTAGGTTTTTCTTTAAAAAGAACGATGATGCGCGCTTGTAAATCCGTCCACTCATGATCATACATGATTTTTTGTTTCAAACATGACATGATACCATGAATCATTTAAATAACAAACAATAAAAAAAAATTACATATCTTAGATTAACTTGTAAAAATTCCGATTGGATAAAGCATTTCTTCATGACCACATGAACTAGGGACTTTTGTACCACTCACTTCTGATTAATATCATATAAAAGCAGTCAGAAATCTTGCAAGAAACTACTGAAAAAACTTATATTCCTTTATAAAAAAAGGTCAAAAAGGTATAAATTGACGTTTATTTAAAGTTGTTTTGTACATTTTTTTCAAACTTGTATATTAATTATATTCTATTTTTTTTTTTTACCAGTGACTTTAAAAATGTAACCAACGAACGAGAACTACGAAAAAATTTCGTTCATATCGTTTTCGTTATTATAGAGTTGGTTTATGTTTTTATCCGTCGCCCTTTATATTTTTTTTGTTTATCGATTGTTAATTTCTAAAAATTTTAATAAGCATCTCATTAAGCTTTTCCTTTTTTGGAGAAAAAAAAAAATACTTATATGTATGGGTTACATAAATTCTTTTTTATCTTACAAATATCCTATATAATAAATATATGAAGTGCCACATTTTCTAAAGTAAAATATCGTGGCTCATGGTGTCCTTTTTGTCAAATAAACGTGAAAATATATGCGTGAAATTGTAAATAATTATCTCAGACCTCCATCAGAAAATTGCTGGCCGGATTTCTTAAAAACACCTAAATACTCTTGAGGGTTACAATTTGATATAACGAAGACCCAACATATAATTATTCCAGGGCATTTTCGAGGATTGGGTCTAATTGAATAAACTCGAAATTATAATTTCATGACCGCGTGAAAAAAAAAATCTCTCGCTTTTTTTGCCAAGAAATACAATAAATAGCCAAAGGTGCTACGAATAACGTTTATTTTTTCGATGCACACCCCACGATTAAAAAAAAATCAAGCCCGAGATGTGGGCAAAAACTTTATTAAATGCTTCGCAATAAACGTCATGTTTTACAAATTATAATACTGTACTACACAGGCGAATTATTTCGCCAACACGTATATGTTTCATTTTCACCGCGTAAAAAAAAATATTTATTTTTAAGTAGTCTAAAACTACTTACATCATTCTCTTAAAAATTTTTTATATGGGACCTTTGCAATAGAAAAGGGGGAAACGGCTGGAAAAAATAAAAATTGAGTTAATACTAAATCTGAACATATTTTGACCTAAAAATCATATTTGGCAGTAAATTATTTTACGGTACACTGCATTTAATCCCTTTGGCGTAATAATAATAATTAATGATATTTTTATTAGATGCATCAGATCAATACCTAATAAAAAAGCATACAGATTTACTAACTGGAATATAAGACGTGTTCGGTTTGAAATAATTAAAAAAATTTCACAAAATCTCTCAAAAAATTTCACACAATATTCTCAAAATTCTTTTTCAAAAATAAAATGTACCTTCGATGTATAAAAACATACATGTACCTTATCCATTTACCGACAACGCTAAAAAGATACACAGTGTGTATTCTTTATTATCCGTTTTTTGGATATGTTAAGAAGTATGCAGAAGAAGATTTGCATAATTATTTGCAAAAAGCCTCCATTATTGAAAGGGAGGCTGTTGAACAAACTTCAATCCTCATCTCATCTAATCGCACCAGATTATGATAACCAACATTCATTGCCAAATGAAGAGGAACATGAAGAATGTATGTAAGAATAACTTTGTGTTTAAAATATGTTGCCAGATGAATTAACAGTGGGTTATTTTTGATAGTCAATCAATTGCAGTCGCGACATCATTTGCTCAGATTTACGTGGAAAAGCAACTATACTGCACCACTAAAAGCTGGAGCTAAAGTGATTGACGTTGCCTAAGGTGTTGATAACGCGTAAAATGGTTTCGAACTTACTTATATTTAATTTCACATACTTGAGGGAATAGACAATGTTATTATTAGAATATTAAAATGCATCACCACCAAAATTTTTTTATTACTTCAATTTATGGATGGAGATTGTATGTAGTTAAGGTTTATTTTACATTTGAATAAAATTTATTAGCAAATTGGTTGTTCAATTGATTAATACGAATTAATTTTATTCTGTTATATTACACAAAAACTCCAACTTTTAATAAAAAATTTTAATGTTTGACCAGATCTCTACTAAATTATTCTTGCCACATAAAATATGATTTCATCTCCTCCGTAACATCATCTATAATTCCTCCAATGTTACTTCTAATGGTAAATACACAATGCAAAGGTTGGATTTTAAAATGCAATAACACTATATTTCCGCTCAGAGATAATGTGGAACTACTGATCTGACTAGGATGATTATACTGAGATGCCGCAATAGCTTCTCTGTCAATAACTTCAATAACTTTCCAACTTCCCCCTATGCTTCCAATTCCACTTGTATTAACATTAATCTTTTCATTTATCCCATCCTCCAATCTTTACTTTATAATTTCATATTGTTTATAACCAATTCTCCTACCAATTCTTCCTTTCATTAGACAAATTTGTCATAATCTTTTATGGTCATTTGGATAGGGCTTAAATGTCGTAGCATATTCTCTAAAAAAAAGAATTTTATAAAAAAAATATATATAAATAAATACACTGCTAAGAAATAATTCATCAGCAGAGATCCCCTATTATTACTATATGTTTCTAAGAACGTAGATTCAGTCTTTGCATGATGTTGTGAAGCTCCCTAACGAGAACAACAATAATTTTATTATTTTATTAATTATCTTAAAATGGTCGTACATACCATGCTTTTTCGGGGATGATGCTTGGGGAGATTACCGATTCTACTAACATCCACGGAATGTCCAATTGAAGAATTCATTCCCTCGTTTGTTCCAACTCCACTAAATAAAGCCGAAGCTAATCTATCCTTTTCATGTGTGACAACATTCTTTGCCGTAATTGATGTTATAGGGTCTAACATATAAAGTGGAATATGTTAGCATAAACATTTTTAAATTTATTACATTTCTTGAGATTATAAATTTACCTTGACTGATGTTCTCAAAAACGGATGAACGTTACTCGATGAACTATTCACTGGCCTGTTTTTTTTTAAAAAAAAAAATTATTAAAATTATTAAATTTTTACATGGAAAAACTCTCGCATATATTTAACATTTTCTTAAAATACTCTTACTCTTCGCTAGAGATGGCTGATAATGTTGGAGAAGTAGAAACGATGCTAAAATAGAAGAGTATATTTAATTAAAGGGTATATAACTAAACATTTAATAATATAAGCGGTTTAATAAAACAATAGATTACCGCGATGACTGCTGTTGAATCGGTTTGTATCCGGTACGGCGAACTTGGTGCGTTACTACCCTCGCAACAGACGCCATTAATGACTGCCTATTTTTTGATGACTATTAAAAAATTTTTTTTTCTAAAAAAAAAAAAAAAAATCCAAATATTACCCAGATTTCTGGCTTACCTTCCATCGAATTCTTCATAATCTCCATAATCTCCAGGCGAAAGCGTATCTTGTGATCGCAGTGGGCAACATCATTACACTTGTCAATATAATACGCTTAATGTTCAGTCGTCTAAAGAATTATGAAGCTCAGTCAAAAATAATTGTAATATACAATGCCTAGATGAGTAGAAGGA